TTTTTTTTTTTTTTTTTTTTTTTCTATCTTTATTCAAGTTTCTTCCTTAATGATGGGTGGACCGCCATGAGCGGCTATGCATGGGGGCCCGGGGGGTCTAGGACTCTAGGGGGTGCGGCAAAGACGGGATTCCGTGGAATGTGTGTGTGTGTGTGTGTTTTTCTTTTTTTTTCTATCTTTATTTCTTCCTTAATGAAGGGTGGACCGCCATGAGCGGCAATGCATGGGGGGTCTAGGACTCCAGGGGGTTGCGGCAAGGACGGGATGTTGTTCCTTGTCTATTTTTATTATCTACCTTTATGTTTGTTCCTTGTCTCGTTCTAGGGGTGGACCGCCATGAGCGGCTATGCATGGGGGGTCTAGGACTCTAAGGGGTGCGGCAAAGACGGGATGCCGTGAATGTGTGTGTGTGTGTGTRTGTGTGTGTGTGTTTTCTTTGTATCTTTATTTCTACCTTTGTGTTTGTTCCTTCTGTTGTTCTTGGGGGGGACCGCCATGAGCGGCAATGCATGGGGGGTCTAGGGGGTGTGGCAAAGACGGGATGCCGTGGAATGTGTGTTGATTTGTTTATTATTTTTTTTCTTTCTAGGGGTGTTTTGTTTTTTTTTTGTCTCTAGGGGTCTTTATGTTTGTTCCTTCTCTTGTTTGTCGCTGTGGTTGTTGTGGAACTTGTGTTCGTTCCTGTCACTGTCCATCTTTTACAGGTTGATTCGTCGGTTGTTCAGTAACTTCGGTGCAGTTCTTTGTCGTTGGCGTCGAAGTTCGTTTTAGTTCACCCCTTCTGCGGATTTCATTCGGTCTCCACAACATGTCTGACCCTCGAGGCAATAACGGGAAGGGCCCCGCGGAGGGTAGTAGAAAAGGTCACAACACGAAGACCTTTGACTCCCCTTTTAAGGTGGATCCAAAAGCGGATGAAAAACGAGATGATCATGTTTGGCATTTCGTTGCTCGTGGTCGTTATTTAGATGGATTCACTGTGGTCGGGAGGAAGAACGGTCGCCGTGGCAGGGGGCGATGATCACGGTGACAGAGGAGATAGGCCACGGCGACGACGATGGCGCCAGTGGCGATGATCACGGTGACGGAGGAGATAGGCCACGACCTGCACATGGTGACACGATGCGCGTCGACGGGGCAGGGGGCGAGCACCGCACAACAGTAGATGACGCTCGAGATGGAGTGCATGAT